CAGGAGGAGATCGAGAGCTGCAGACCCTTCGTCAGATGATGATCGACTTCCTGCAGAACCATTCCCAGGAGCTGAGGCCTCCTGCTTGCCCACCACTGGATCCAGTGTTGTAAGTTCCTTGGTATCAAATGTAGCTGCTCTCTGTTCACTCAGTTTATTAAATAAACTGTAGAAGATTAAAAATATTTTTAAAGTTTGTTTTTTTTTTTTTTTAATACCAGTTGTGCTGTGAGATTGTAAAAGAAAATTCCATGGTAACAGTGGGTGTATTGCATTCTGTGCTAAATTGCTTTTCTTTTCCTCAAAGGTCCAGTGATCTCCCATCTCTTTTTGACAAGAGCAGCCACCACTACACAGCCATTGTGTTTGAGAGCAACAGCTCCTACGTGGGCCGAGAGGTAACGTGGGACCTGTGAGGGACAGAGTGGCTGTGCATGGATGTCACCAGAAACCAGCTGGATTTGAGCTTTTTTAGCCAAAAAACAACTCCCTGAGTGCAGCACTAAAGCAGGGCACACGTGTTTGGAGGGTCATTAAACCCAGGGATTTTATAGAGCTGGGGTGTTCACTCACACACAGGAACTTGCTTACAAAATAATGGGATGTCATGTTCTTATTTTAGTAGAAGATTAATTTATCAGTTTCGTTCTCAGCACAATTTTCTTTCAAGAATTTGAAAGATCACAACAAAAATATTGCCAGATTACATTATTGTTTTGTTACTACTAGAGAACCATTTTTAGTACTCATTTTTCTGGACAACTGTTTGTAATAATCTAAATAACATTATTGTTTTGTTACTACTAGAGAACCAGTTTTAGTACTCATTTTTCTGGACAACTGTTTGTAATAATCTAAACTCTCCAGTTCCCTTTCTTCACATATAAATTTGGGAAAATTAAGATGCTAGCATAAAATTATTTACCCAGTTCAGAAACACAGAGGAAGTGGAAGTCTTCAGGCTTTGCTTCCCAATAAAATATTTGATTTTCTATCATTTCTTCACCTAATGAGCCTGTTGTTAGCTCAGACAACTGTTATTTTTCTCTTCCTGCTAAGATCTAGGATAAATGAAGAAAAAAATTTGCATAATCACCCAAGCATAATCTGTGTGGAAACATCCAGTGTCTGCAAAATGTTTCTGGTTAGATTTGATGCTGAGGTGGCCCAGTGTCATGAGTGGAGGAGGTTGTGCTGCCAGGAGTGGGAATCACTTTGGGATCAGGCTGATTCCAGCCCTTTGTTCTCTGGGAGCTGCTCTGGTGGTGCAAGTGGGCATTACTGAAGAAATGGGAAGGTTATAAAGTTCCTCAGCTTTTTATCACATTGTTTTTATTATCTACAGTTAGAGGGGAAGACAGAGCCATTTGGTTAACACAAATTGGAGTCTGCTTTCAGGATAAAAAAAAATGTTTGTTAGTGTTTGTAGTATTTGAGCTTTATGGAATAGTTCAGTGAAACAGAAAATGGCATTGTTTTCATGTTTACAACACAAGACAAAATGGACAAACCTTCCCATACTGCTGAAGAAAAGGAGGCCATGTGTCATCACTGATGGAAGGAAAGAGGAAAAGACCAGAACAGACCAAGAAAAAATAAAACTAAAAAAAGAAAATAGGAGTAATAATTTCTAGAGAAGAGTAAATCTTCTTTGAGTGAAATTGTTTGTGTGCACGGAGCAGCCACAGCTGCACTTCCTGCAAACAGCTCAATGATGCCCTTAAAGGATGATGCACTTCTCCTGTTTATGTGTCTTGTCCTGCAAGATTGGCTATTCCTTGAACAATGTGTAATTCATGGCATCCTCTCATTCCCAGGTCATCTTAGACCTGATCCAGTACGAAAACATCGTGGTGAGGAGAGCCCTGGATTTTGATAAACCTTTCCTGGAGAAACTGGGGATCACCTCAGTCCCCTCTTGCTACCTGATACAGCCCAATGGCAGCCATGGGTTAATTAACAAGTAAGTAATTATCTGTCAGTGGGTTATGGGGATGTTCACTTAACTTATAAAAATGTCAGGATTTGATGTCCTGACACCTCATCAATGCATTATACTGCCTGAACTTGTGTGTTCTTTATATTATCAATAAAAGACCTAATATTGCTTAAACTTATCACTGTTTCCTATTTATAGCTTCAATTTATTACTGTGAAGTTCTGAAATTAAAAAAAAATCTTTGGAATAAAAGTGGAAAAAATAAATGAAGCATCAAAATTTTTAAGAAAACCCATTTGTATAACATGAACTGACATTTGGATAAACAGTATTTGTTCTTATTTTGAACAGATTTTCACACTCCTTATCCAAGTGATTTGTTATTCATAAATGGAACATTATTTCTTTTCACTTTGTATCAAAACAGGCCATACTGCACTAGGACTGTAAAACAAAGTGAATATTTTATTTTATAAATACAGTTATTTGCTTTGAGCATTCACTTAATCTGAGATTACAATTATCTCTCTTTGTCCATTTGCAGTTTGAAGCCCCTACGATCTTTCTTTTCTTCATATTTAAAGTCACTGCCAGGTGTAAGGAAAAAACTCCTCCTGCCTCTGCAGCTGCCTGCTCCAGAAAACAGAGAGAGCACAGAAATCAAGGTGTGGAAAGAGTTTGATAAGTAAGTGATGCCCTTGGTTTTTATAAATCTGGTTATTAAGAATTACCTGCAGCTTTTTCCTGCCACATGGGAAGCTGTGCTATAATATATTATAAAATCCTAGAGCAGTTCCATATTTTACTTCATGTCACTCCATTCAGTTCAGCTGTGAGCAGCTTTTCAAACAATTCCCAGGTGAAATTACTCTGAGGTATTTTGGGTTTAGCAGCAAATGTCTGCACTGCTCTGGAAGGAATGTTTTTTTACCAGAAGTGTTGTGAAATATTCAATTGCCTTGAAAATACCAAGGACTTATTGCCCACTACCTGAAAGAAGTGAGCAGTGTCCCTGAAAAAATTCATAATCTAAATTATGAGTTAAAATACCAAGCTGCAACATTTCTGTAGGAGATTCTGTGTGTGCAGTAGTGAAACAGTGCCCACTGGAAAGGGCTTGTCAAATGCAAGTATAATAGAAAATACTAAAGTCACTGTAAAAGATGTTTATCACCCCAAATCCCCTGAGGTTTATCTTCACCCTCTTACCCTCTTTGAGAGAAGGATGCAAAGCCTGTGCAGAGAGATAATCCCTCAGCATCTTTAGATGGAAAAGATGTGGGGCTGAGTGCTTTAATATAATACTTATTTTCCTTTCATGGACACTATTAGTGTCATCTTCTTTCAGTGACTATTAGAAAATACTTTATATGGAACATTCAGTTTGCAAAACAACTTAGTTAAATTGAGCTGCTTTCCAGCAAGGCAAAATCTTGTTGGCATGAGTCTCCACTCCAAGTATCTTCTAAATAGGATCCTTTTGGAGAATCTCCTGCATTCATGTGGATGTCTCTTTATTTAAGAAACTTGAAGCAGAATTTTGCTGGTTTTTAGAACTTCAGTGAGTACTTTATTAATTAAGGAGATGAATTCAGAATTAGTCTGTGGCTTAAATTAAATTATAATTGTAGTATATATGATTATAGATGATTCTGTCTTTTAATAAGTGCTTTCCTGCATGTTATTTAGGAGGTGGGAGCAGCCAGTTTTTTCAATGTTTGTTGTTTAATTCTGATTTTTTAGCAACAGCAGTGCTGCTGAACTTTTACAAGAAGTGTGAATTTGCTGAACTTCTGTTTGTTGACACTGCCTGAAAAGCATTGAAAGCTGAGGCTGTGTGCCTGCTGCATTTGTACTTTGTAAAGCAGGTGTAGTTATGAAGATATTTGGCTGTGAGAAGGAACTTGGAAAATGTTTTATTTGCTTTACATGGTTTGCTGGTGCCTGTCAGAACTCTTGTCTTTAGAGCTGCTGTGTTTCAGCTGGGAGGTGAAGGACCTGCAGTAAAACTGCTGCATTTGGGAGAGGATTTCTAATTCAGGCCTTCCCAACATTTCCATTTCCATTCAGTCCTTTCCATTTCCAGTCTTGTTTGCACCCCTGCCCTGTGTGGGATCCCCTGTTGTCCAGGGCATGTCCTGTTCCTGTTTGTGGTCAGCCCAGCAGAGAAGCTGTAATTTCCTTCCACCAGGGCTGTAATTTCATTACAAGGTAAAGCTGGCAGGGAGACAAAAAGTTCAGTCAAATATAAAAAACAACTTTCTCATGTGTGGCTGTGCCTCAATTTTCCAAACTCTGCTTGTGCCACCGGGGCTGGGCAGGACTGCAGTCACTCAGGGGGGGCTTTAATGACATTTCTGCCATTATTTTACCTGATATTTCTGCCATTATTTTAGCTGGTGAGGGTGAGGGAAGGGCTGCAGGGTTATTGATGTGTTCCAGGTCCAGGCTGTACATGGCTGACCTTGAGTCAGGATTGCATTTCCTGCTGCGGGTGGAGCTGGCCACGCACAAGGCGCTCGAGGGAGCTGAGCTGAAAACCTTCAAGGATTTTGTCACCATCTCTGCCAAGGTAGGCACTCCTGGGCTCTGATTGTTTGTGGAGATGAAGTGACTCCAGCAGAAAATTTATTGTGGGGCATAATTCTGTCAGAATGTCTGCACAGTGTTTGAGTGTGTGCATCCTCAGTAGCTTCAAACACAGTCTGGTGGGTTTATTTAAAAGCTATTTTTGAGGTATTGTTTGCTGTTCTGACATACTTACGGGGTTCAAATGCAATTTAATTTCACCTTAGGGGGCTCAAAATTAAATAAAGCTTAAGTAGTCTGCAGCATATTGAACAAACACTGTAAATATAGTCCATTTATCAGATTTTCTGGATAAGTGGCTATTGTTGCTCAGTGGGATTAAACCAACCTTTGTTTTTCATTCTTGACTTTTGAATTTCATTAATGCATACTTGGCAAATGCTGTTCTATTTAGAGATGTTAGTAGCTTCTGTCTGAATTTTGAATATAATTGAGGTGCTGATTTTGATTAAATAGGTATTCAAAAATAACTGAGCTATTGAATATAATTATTTAAAAATTTAAAATGCTTATGTGTTACATTTGCATAAAAAGAAAACACATAAAATATAGCATGATATGACTTGAAAAAATTTAAAATCATTTTGCTTTACAATGCCAGCTTCCTGAAATGACCAATACATCTTTATTTTTACTCTGTTTTTATTTTTAACAAGTCAATCAATGAATCAGTGACTCTTAATAATAATGCATATATGAACCATTTCCAAATATCTGGGTTTATCTGAGAATCAGACAGTTCCTTACCCAGCCAGCTCCCCCCTGCAGCCCTCAGAGGTCAGAAATCTGCAGCTGGCCTCATTTCTTTAAGAAAGTGTGTGGTAATCTTTCCATCATATTATCCCCAGAGCATCCTCTGCTCTTGCCCGTGGCCAGCTGATGTCATTTGATTCCCTGGCTGTTGTGATAAATGGGGAATGTTCTCTTTCAGGTGTCTGTCCCACCAGGGGTTGCTGTCCTTTATTTGCATTTTTTTTCAGTCATGTAACACTTTTCTCACTTCTCTCATTCATATTTTCAGGTGGTTTTGTTAGAAAAATTGTTATATTCTTCTCCTGTTTGTAGTGATGGTCAATCCAAAGGCACAGAAATCTCTGATTCCCTTGCTGGGGAATTTTCATGACTGAAATTCTGCTCCCTCTGGAAAGGTCCTAAAGAATGGCAGATACTTGACTTCATTCTGTAATAATTCCAACCCTCATCAAAGCCAAATAGCATTTCTGCTGTAAAATAAAGGCCTTACCACTGATTTTCAGTTCCTCACACTCATCTGCCAGGCTGTGGCTCTGTGAGTTCTGAGTTAAGGAACTCCTCATTCCAGATCTCTTTGGAAATCACTGTTACACAGGAAAGGAAAATGTTCTTCTGGGTAACAACTCCTAAACTCACAGAAATCTGACTAAAAAGAACTAATTTTTGTGATTGATCCTCCAGAAATGAGAGGGATTTCAGCCTCTCTGTTGCACTGAGGTGTTTTGTTCTGTTTTGAGCAACATTCTGAACTGAATTACCTTAATGTGAAATCCTAAATAATGTCAAGTTGTTTTGTAGCATTCCTGCCCGCTAAGAATTTTAAAATTTTAAAAAATTTTAACATTTTGCACAAAAAACTTGTTGAATTTTGTAAGCAAAAGCTGGTGTGAGATGGCTTTTTACTGCAAGCAGAACAATTAATTTGCTCATCAGAGACCAAAATGAATCATTTCACAGACAACAAAACCACTCGGATAAAACCAAAACCTCCTTGCTAATGAGATTTGTGCTTGAAAATGTTTTCTTCTTTGTCTTTTTGATTTTTCTCAGCTTTTTCCTGGCCGTCAGCCTGTGGTGAAGTTGCTGGAGACCTTGCAGGAGTGGCTGGTGAGCCTTCCATTAGACAAAATCCCTTATGATGCTATCCTGGATCTGGTCAACAACAAAATGCGGGTAAGCTGTTCCCAGTGCCAGCATCAAACAGGGCATTAGGACAGGATAAGATTCTCTATCAATCTAAGACATCATTTACTGCTGCTCCCCCACTCATAATGGAGTTATAAGAAGGTTAAAATGAAAATAAAGTGAAATCGTTAGCAGAAAAAAAAAAAAAAACAAACAACCAATCCACGTCCACACAAAGAAATTGAAATGAGAGAATTGAAACATCCAATCCTGGCTGGGTTTTGTAGTGAGCAAGCAATACTTGTTCCCTAATGTCATCCCCAGGGATGCAAGAATCCCAGAGGATGTTTCTGATTCACTGTGCCTGCTGTCAGCAGGATTCTCTTGAAGGTCAGAGTTTAAGTGATGGGAAATTTTCCCACTGAAATGTTCATTATTCCTGAAGAGTTCCCCCAAATACTCTCTAATTTCCCTGCTGGAATCTCGTCCCACTTTGGCAAAGCTCTGTCACAGGGTTGTCTTTGCACAGAACTTCACAATTTCTTCCCTATTTCTGTCTGAAATTTGAAAGCCTCCTGTGCATTTGAGGAAGAGAAAAGTCTCAGAAATTAAAATCTTGAACTGAGTTTCAGGTGCAATGAATAAGGAGTGGGTTTGTCCCAAGAAGAAATAATATGGAATTTTACAGCCAGTTAAGGCTTTACACTGTAAATCATGTAAACTTTGTGCAGTAATAGGGAATTTTGGATGTGCCCAGGGGAGTTCTGTCAGTGTACAAGAATTTTTAAAAAACACAACACACAAAAACAAAAATCTTCCCAGGTTAAACTACTCTGTGTGCTCTGTCAGACTGATTTTAGTAGGTGTGATGTCAATGATTAACAATTTGTATCTTGTCCCAAAGGGATGAGTCTCACGATGATGCTTCAGAGTGTCTGACACATGAATGAGGATTTTTGTTTGCCTGAAGCATGAAATGATTAACAAGTGCACAAAGTAATTTCTTGTTCTTTACCCTGGATCACCTCCATGGTACCACACTCAGTACATTTATGCCCCAGAGCAGCACACACCTTAAATAAATCTCTTTTTTTTTTTTGCAGATTTCTGGGATATTTCTGCCCAGGAAAGTGCAGTGGGTTGGCTGCCAGGGCAGCAGAGCAGAGCTGAGGGGCTACAGCTGCTCCCTCTGGAAGCTGTTCCACACCCTCACTGTCCAGGCTGCACTGAGGCCAAAAGCTTTGCTGAACACAGGTGAGCAGCAAATATTTGGTGTGTAAACCCTCACTGGATTTACAGGCTGCACCAGCAGGGGTCAGAGCTTGGCTGCAGCAGGAAGGTTTGGAATGTGCTAAATGTGGCCCTAAAGCTGGGAGTAATAACACAGAAAAAGGGAAAAAAAAATGAAAAAGAGAATTTCAAGCAAAAAAAAATATTGAGCTCCCTGAAAAGGGATGAAAATGATTCAGATTAACTAAGGTTGCACTGAGAATGAAATTTGAGGAAAATGAGGTTTTACCATCCAGTTCAGTAGCTATAAAAGATGTTCAGCCATTAGCTGATCCTTCTGTAATGTTATTTATTAAATACAGCATGTTGCAACTTTTTGGTTTAGTTTTTTTCCAGCTGAATGTACCTGTCATTAATCCCTGCAGTGATTTACTACTTTGCCAGCACTCTGTAAAATTGCTCATTTTTAGACTTGCAGCATCTTGTGAAGCTGAGTGTTAATATTCTGGTGATGATTCCTGTTTATAAAATCTGTTCTCCTCACCCAATGAAAATAGAATCACCAATGCTAAAATTTGGGTTTTATTTTTGCCAGGACAGTGCTTTGTTTGTTTACAGTTCTATTTATTTTTCATTTAAAGCCTTTTGAATGTCTTTTCTAAGGAATATAGGAATTCTACATGGACATCATAAAACTCAGAAATTTTCAATTTGCCAGTTGTTGATTGTATGTTAAAAAGGATTTTATTATTTCACATTTTAGATCCATACATTTGGTCCAGCATTATTTGCATCAGAGTGAAAATCCTTCAAATCTGAATAATTGTCCTGCAGAACAGGCTTTTTTTGATAGCAAATCATTCTGTTGTTGATTTTTATTTCTGTTTTTGTTTGTTTTTCATGGGGCAGTAGATTGAATTTCTTCAATGTAGTGCAGTGAGTTTCAGAGGTTTGTGCTGGGTGATTTTGAGCTGTCCAGCAGGATCCTGCATAACTTAAATTTCCCCTTTTTAGTCTCAAAGTGTTCTGATTAAATCTATTAATCCTTAATGTTTAACAACACAAAACTGCCCCTCAAATTTTATTTTGCAGGCATGAGCCTGAAGTTAAAAATACATTGTAGGACCTGAGAACTCTTTGGCACAGTTAACCCTGGCTGTAAATCGGGCCAGATATGTGATGATCACTTCTTATGGTGAAAGAATTGGGTCAGTCTGAGACTGTGGGATTATGTCTTGGGAGGTTTTCCTCTCCTTATTGCTTGTTTAAATCCCATCTACTAAAAAGCATGATGTACTCCCTAATCCTTCCCACCACAGGTAGGGTTTTATGCTTCTTGTCCACTTTAAAGATTAGGGTTACCCTGAATTGCAGTAGTTTGGGAGGGAAGAGAAAAGGAGGATTACACAATGATACATGGCAGATGTTAATAGAAGATTCATCTGGGGGGGGCTGATGAAAGAAAAACAACCAAAATGAGCCATTTTGCAATTGTTTGCTTTCTGAAGCAGATGGGTTTGTCCTGATCGTCCCCTCTGCTCGAGGGCCTGGCACTCTGGGTGAACTCCTGTGCCTTTCTGGATAAAATCATTTTATTGGGTTCTGGTTGAGACATTTTAATGCTGAGTGGGGAAATCTGAACCTGGAGTAGCAGGAGGGAGCTCAGGACAGAGCTGCTCACAGCCAAGGGGGTGTAAAATCATTGTGGAAATCATTTCCTGAGCTCCCTTCATTGCAAGAAATGTGGTTTTAGGTAACAAGATGGCTTGGTGTGAATAAGACAGGCTTGTGGATTTTATAATAAATTATCTAGCATTTTTAAATCTAGTGCTGAATTTCCCCACAAAATTAATTTTCAAGGGTGTACCATTACTCAGGAGTACAGATGAAATTCAATTTGTGTATGAATCTCGTTTCTCTACAGAGATAATTTTCTGATTGTGTTTATTGTTTTTCCTAAATACATATTTCAACATAAATGGTAAAACTGTTCTGCCTGAAATTCGTTTTAACTTCCAAAATAATTTTCCAGCCTTTCTTTTAATGCAGTAATTTCATCTGCTTTAATCTCATAGCTTTTATTTATACAGGTCTGTTCAATCACAGATATTGAATGGCTGAGGAGAAATCAGGGGTTTTTTTAGGATTTCTTTTGGGCTTTAAAGAAGAATCTCTTTTTGTGTTTAAGAATATCCTGTTGTTGTTCTAAATAAAGCTGTTGATGACAATCTTTATATATTTCCCATATCTATAGCAGATGAGTGCTCTGATAGTTTGAGCAGTTTTGTTGATTTTTTTCCCAAGAAAACAAAGCAATAGTAAATTACTGGTGGTGTTCAGCAGCAGGAGTCTGTAATTTGATCAATCTGCACCATAAAATGTGTTTAATTTGACAGGTGTGTGCTCGTGGTAACACACAGGACATTTTTAAATACATTTTGACATAATTTACTGGGGCAATTAAGCATGAATCAGAAATTCTGTGTGACAGAGATGAAACCATTAGGATTTCAACAAATTATATCAGGTTTTCAAGGCACTTAGAGATGTGAGGAGCTACCTGCTGACACAAGAAAGGCCACAAAGTTCCCAACCTGTGCAGGCCTCGTCTTCCTGCTGAATTCATTATTTTTTGCATTATCTTTAGTGTGGAAATGTGAATGTTTTAAAAAGAACCACGTGTTTGTGTTTATTTTAGCAGGAATTCCTGATTTATTCTCCCAAGTGTTGCTCAGCAGCTGCTCTGTGCATTCAGAGCCTGCCAAAAAAGCCATGGAATTAATAATTCTAATGAGATTGTGGAGCTCTCTGATTCCTCAGAATTGAGTAACAAACAGCCCTTGTGCAGGACTCACAGAGGGGCTTTGACTCTTGATTTTTGAGGAGCAAAGTCACCATAACTTCATTGCCTGGCCATGAATATGGAGCTGAATGCATAATATAAACATTTATATTAAATTTGCATACTGGGCAAGAGCTTGGAGAAAATCTCCAATTCCACAGGAGTTGTGGCATACAGAAAGTGTGAATTTTGTATATTTTAACAATTTCACAGTGTTCTCTGATAAAATTAATGTCTGGTTTTCGTTAACTAAGTTTAGTTTTCCTTTGAAATTTTAAGATACTGTGAAAGGAGAAATTTTGCTGTGGAGACCACTTGACTTTTATTTGGTTGTGGTGCTCAGGGTGTACACACTGAATGTGTGTAGGTGTTGGGTACAAACAGCCACTTTAAATTGCAAAAGTGATTTATTTCAGCTCGGGTGTCAATTCTGTGGAACAAGAATGGAGCGAATTTTCCTTTCCTTCTCCCCCCTTTGTCCGGTTTTCGGCTGTTTGAGGGGCCTGGAAAGGCCCGGGGTGGCCTTGGGGCAGCCCGTGTATCGAAGGACGAGAAGAGGCTTCAGTTCTTCTTTCGGTTTTTATGTTTATTAATTGTTTATCTAAAAGATTTTCTTTCAGCCAAACAAAGATCTGCTCAGCAGCCAGCCATGAGCACACTGTGCTGCCCTCTGGGGCAGCCACCTATCTTTATACCCATTGTTACGTGTACAATATTTATCATTTTTCCCCAATACCATTTATTCTTATAACTTGGTGCACTCTCAGTAATAACCAATCCAAAGGTGCCACCATGGCCAAAGAAGATGGAGGAGAAGAGGAAGAAGAAGAAGGACAGGACACACCCCAATTCCTCCATCTTACTTCTCTAAACCCCCCCTGTACATAAATCTTAAACTCTGTATCTCACTCTCTAATTAACTAATCCCTTCACCATTCACCCGGTGAAGCCCTCATCCTTGTCATCTCCTGTGTAGGATCAAAGTGCAGCCACCAGACACTTCTGGAACATTCCAGGACTCCCGAGCCCCCCAAGGTGGTCTCGGAGGCTCAGCACCTCAGGACTGAGATCCTGAGATCCGACATCCTTCACTTCCCTGCTGCTGGAGCTGTTTCTGTCCCTTGTCTTGCAGGCCTGGAGGACAACCCCCAGATTGTGCTGCAGGTGATGAGGAGATACATCCAGCACTTCTTTGGCTGCAAGGCTTGTGCTCAGCACTTTGAGGAGATGGCCAGAGAATCCATGGATTCTGTGAAAAGCTTGGACCAGGCAGTTCTGTGGCTCTGGGAGAAGCACAACGTGGTCAACAACAGGCTGGCAGGTAGGGGAGAGGAACTGCTGAGGAGGAAAAACAGCATTTTCAAAACTGCTTTCTTCTGAGATTCCACCTGTTGCTTGGTGAGGCTTTTTCCAAATCAAAGGAGCAATTCGGCTGCTTAGCAGTGGATAAAAAATAATTGCATTTCTTTCTGTACCAGTTTGGGGTTAAAACCTGCCCTTGGTTTGGTTTGGAAAATGATGGCAATTGAACAAAAGGCTTGGAGCCTCAATTCTTGGCAGATCAGCAGCTGAATAAAATAAAATTACTGTATAAAGCAAACCTGTGCCCCCTCCAGATCCCTGTGTTTTCAGTTGGAAGTGCTGTTAAAATACTGGTTGTGTTTAATCCATTCTGTTATGGAGGTATCAAGTAACTAAAGCACTAAAGAAAATTGGTTTCTCTTTGCACTAAATCCCTGTCTGCTGTTATGGATCTGGGTAATGCAGCATTAGTTACAATTTCAATATGCTACATTGTGTTCATATTATGCTCCTGCTGCATTCCCAAGATTTATGAAGAATTAAATACTGCTGTGAGTACAAACAGTTTGCCTCCTTTCTCTGAGCAGAAAAAAGGTAAATAATAAGAGATGAAATAAAAACATCCTCTAATTTTGGTTCCTATAACAGGCAACTCCTGTGGACTTGGAGTTGCCAAGTGGTGGAGCAATGCACTTATTTAGAACATTAAGGTATTGGAAAACTCACATGGATATTGATTTAGGTGATGCAGCAGCCAGCTAAAATACCCTTTTAGTAAGAACTATAAACACACTGGAATAAATAATAATGTTAAATTATGCTTTTTCAGTTTGCTAAAATTTCTCTGTGGGACAGTGATGTATTTTCACCCTTAAAAGCTGCATCTGTGTTTGTGGTGCTGAGTGAGAATTGATGTTTGGTCAATGGAAACACCTTGGGGTGGGGGTCAGGAGGTGCCTGGATATGGCTCTGCCCTATTGAATTATTCCCTGTTCCTGTGGAATGCACAGGATTTACAGCGTGTCCCTTTTTGGCAGGAAAACACAAAGTACAGGGAGCTTTCTGTTTGTAACCTTGCTGTAACACATTTTATTTCTGTATTTTTTTATTGTAACAAATTGATTGCCGAGTGATCTTTAAGATAAAAAAAAAGCCAATTATAAATATCAAGGAGACAAATATTTTTAAATGTCTTTTGAATCCCTGTTTTACCCAAAATCATGGGGAAGCTTCCTGCTTTTAAAAAAGAATACAAATAATAAAATGAGAATAAAATGCAAAATTATTATTTCTAAAATATTTAAAATGCTAGTGTACTAATCAGGTTAGTAAATTATGAGTTTTATCAGCTGGAGATTTTTGTCTAAAAATTATCTCCATTCCCATTTTAAAATATTGTTTTTTAGAGCAAAGTGTGAGACCAGCTGCAGTGTTCAGCTCAGAAACGTGGCCAGAGCTGCGAGCATCTGAAATGTTAAAATCAGATCTGATTCAAGACAGTGTTATATATGTAAAAACTTGTTTTTTACCTGAAAAATCCATCTTAAACATGAAGATGGCTTTTAAAATACTGATATTTGTTCTGGTAATGATGCAGAGCTGTGGAAAAGCAGGCTTGGGATGGAAACACAGAAACATGAAAATATCTGAGTGTCTGGCCTTGGAGCTGCTCTTGCAAACCAGGCAGAAAACAGGGATTAAGGAGTGAAAAGAGCAGTTTGTTTTGCACCATAATTCAGGTTAACCCTGCAGGGCCCAGACTGTTGAGAGTTTCTGCCTTCTAAAAGCAGCAATTGCAGGATTTGGGCTTGGGATTGAAATGCTGCAGCTTTTTACTGTGAGAAAAGGGAAATAATTGTGAGTTAGTGTTTGTATTTTGAAATGTTTTGGGTCAGAAACAATGAGAAAAGTTCCAAATTTGTGATTGTCTTTGTTTAATTCAGTTATTGTGCTGTGGCTTTTTATTCCAACCTCACTGGAAGTGGAAAGCACTCCCTGGGCTGAGGGTGCAGCTTTCCTTCTTCATCCCTCCTGACTTTCTCCATTTCTGTTTTTCTCCTCCCCATTAGGTGACTTGACTGAAGATCCAAAATTCCCCAAAGTTCAGTGGCCAACTCCAGACATTTGTCCTGCGTGCCATGAAGAAATCAAAGGGCTGCACAGCTGGAATGAGGAGCAAGTCCTGCAATTCCTCAAGTCCCACTACAGCAGCGAGAATCTCCTCTATCAATACACCCAGAGCCAGGCTGAGCCCAGTGACAACGAGCAGGGAGACACGAGGGAGCTGAAAGACAAAACCCTGCAGAAGAACTCGGGGGGAAATGGAGAAAAGCAGCTCCAGGAGAAGGAGAACCCAGGAGATTCAGGCTCCAAGGGCTCGGAGAAGGCAGCGGGGAATCCTGGAGCTGTCCAAGGTAGCGGCAAAGGCGCAGCTGCATCCGTGAGCCTCAAAGGCACCAGGCAGGCTGTGTCCTTCCTAGGGATTGGATTTTCCAACCTAGACATGAGTCTGTGTGTCATCCTCTATGTGGCATCATCCTTGTTTCTGATGATCATGTACTTTTTTTTCCGGGTGAGGTCCAAGCGCTGGAAAGTGAAGTCTCACCGCTCCTCGGTGTAGGAGCTCGCGCTGTTCGTGGCTCTTGGGTCCCAGACACAGCTTTAATATTGATGATCAGGGATTTTATATGCAGTATTCCTTGGGTCACACCCCTTTCTTCCTGAGGCATTTCCCAGGTGTTCAGCTGAGCGGGTGGAGCTGGCCTGGAGATCCCCAGGCTTTGCCCAGGGCCGCGTCCATGTCCTCGCACGGGAGCGTCGCATTCGGCAGTTGAGGTTTTTCCATGACTTCCCACCAACATCCTTTACTCATTTCCAGAGTAAACATTGCATTATGCAATCCACTGTGCCTGCTGGAGAAGGAAATTGGATATTGTTTTGTGTATTTTCAAGTCAGGTGTTATGTTTTGTTTTAATTCCATCCAGAGCTGATTTCACCTCCCGAGTGCTGAGCAGTTCCTCTGGGTGGTACCTTGAGCCTCACTGGGAGAAGCAGGAATTCTGATGATTATTTTCAGGAAACACAAGTTCTCTTCTGATTAAATCAATTCTAAAGCTCTGTGACTTTCTGAAATACTATTTACATATTTAAAGTAGGAAGCATTTCATGTTCAAATCATTCATCCATTCTCTGGTGCATTCCAGCCAAGGATATGTGTGTGCTATCACTAGGATGAGAGTTTTGGGGCACAATTAGCAGTCTGATTCTGATTGCTAAGTAATTATGGTGTTTTCCAGGTGGAAACCAATCCTGATGAACTCTAGGAAAGGAAAACAATGTTTTTAGTGAAGGACAGCAAGGTTTGTGTTACTGTGGCAAAACAGATTGGAAAATCTACAAATACTGAGTTTGTTCTGATGAATTTCTCCATCACAAGAGAGCAATTAACACTTCCCTTGGTATTTCCACCCAGAGCTGCCCTGTTCTGGGATGTCCAGTTCCCTCTAGAGCTCAGTGTGGGGTACTTGGAGCAGCAGTGAGAAGAAATCATGGAAACATTACAAAATCATCCTTGGGAGTAGGAGTTGCTGTGATCCTGGCTGGGGGGGATAATTCACGTCCTGGATAGTGAAGTTTATAATCCTATCCAATGTAATTGAGCATGTTCTGGTTATCCATTACCTAATCTTTAGTTAATCCTAATAGGTTTTGGCCTCAATGTTTTCTCGTGGCAGTGAGTTCTCCAGATTAATTATGTTATATAAAAAGGCTTTTCCTTTCAATTCTACATTTGCAACTTTTTAATTTAATTGAATGTTTGCTGGCTCCTCTGTTACACGAGAAGGACTGAGGGGTCCCTGGCCAATTCCCTGCATTTGTACCACTGCTGTGTCCTCCTCTGATTTCCCTCAGAACCCCCAGCACAGAAAGTTTGAAGCCTGGCAACAAAAAAAGCACAGAAACTCCACAGGGTTATTTTCTCATAATCAAACATTGGCTGTTCACAAAATTGAGTATTTCTGATGTGTCTCTGCAGCATCCAGCTGGAATGACAAAGATTCCCTGTCCCTTGTAGCTGAAGTTTATCACAGTAACACCTGGGGCTGCTGTGAGTGTGTCAGAGGAAGAAATCTCAGTTCCCATGACCCTGTCAGTCCTGCAGAGGGGCTGGTTCTGTGTCCTGAGGACCCTCAGAATTCCAGAGTTCTGGCAGGAGGAACCATCCTGGGTCTTTCCTCTTTAGGAATTTACGACTGCCGTCCTTAGAGCAGCTGGGTTTGGGTACTCAGATATTGAAGTTGGAGGGGAGACGACCCACCTTGCATTGGTCAGCCATCGACTCCACTTTATTGATCAATCAGGCACTTTTTATAACAGTGTTAATCAAGTTCATGCATATTGCAAAATCTGAGCTCACAATAGGTCAGAGATAACACACCAACTCCTCCTTATGTTTCCAATACCAAGATTTGGGTTCTCAAAATTATTCTTGCTTTCCCAAAACAGCCAAAGATAGAACATCCACTTGTTATGAGAAAGCTGCCTGAGAACTCTGATGTGCAAGGCTCTCAAAGCCTTCATGTTTGTCACTTTTACCTGTAATTAAAAATAACCTGAGAACCTCTGCTGTTCACAGAAACAGGCTGTGAGAATCTGCTCCTCACAGCTGCCTTCTAGGCCATCTCTGAAAAAATCTCCAACACTCAGACACCCTGTGAGCACAGAGGTGATGCTGAGCCTGTGGGGAAGGGGCTCCAGGCTCATCAGGGCCCTTGGTTTGGGCTGGAGCCCAGTGAGAGATCCCAGGGATCTCACTCAGAGGAAAACCTGGAGATTCCACACTGACTTTGGAAAATCAGGTAACCTTGGGGTGTTCTCAGCCCCCCAGCAAGGACCCTGAGCTTTAAAAGAAAACCCAAACACCAGGAAAACCTAACCCAGCACAGCAATGTTGGATCTGGAAAACTGGGCCAGTTAATTCCTGCTGTCAGTGTTGCACATTCTCAAGTTGAAATTCAGCCACTGGTGGTTTAGAATTCCAGTACACACACCTGGTTTCATAAGCTGTGACTCATTCTGCTCATTTTTGTCAGCACATGAAAGCAAAAGGCCTTGGGGGTTTGTAGGGATGATTTTGCCATTAAAAACCAGCAAGTGCGGGTTTGGAATAAAGTTTGGGAGGAATAGAGTTTGGAATAAAGTTGAACTTCCACATTGCTGTGACCCTGCTGCAAACACAACAAAATGAACCAATACTCAAACTTCAGTGGCTTTTTTTGTCTCTTCAGAGTATGAAAGTATGAAATTAATGAAATTAGGATATTGCTTGTCCATGTTGGTGCTCCAGCTCTTGCCAGTGAATCAGCCAAGGCCTTCACTTCAGTGTCCTCATCTGGGAAGATTTTCTTGATTTTGAATTCACTTGAGTAAATCTTGGGTTTGTTTTCTGTCTTTGTAATGACAAATTTTACCATTTTGTGTCTCTGTACCAATACAGTCTGTGCTGGGGGATGGGTGCTGCCAAGAAAGTGTTTCTGGTTTAAAAATTGCCTCCAAGCCCCACATCCTCAACCTTGGAGTGTTTATTTGTGTGGTGTGTTGTCCTGCAGTGCCACTTCCCTGTGGGAATCGTGCTGTGCTGGGGCGCTCCCTCGGCCCTTTGTAATTCATCATTTCTTTGCTCTCAGGATGTTTTCAAATAGGAAATATTAAAATAAAAGGAGTAGAATGTGCCAGGAGAGACAAAAGCTGCAAGTGCTAAAGAAACCTGATGAAGTGATTTGTGAGAATTCCTAATTTTCTGTTTCCAGCAGTGCCTCCACCCTGCTGTTCCTGCGCAGAACAAAGGTCCCAGGTGTGGTGTTGCACATGAGGTGTTGAAAATAGTGACAATACCATTTCAGTAATTTAAATGTTCTATTTATTTGAAGTCAATAACTTGACATCTTCAAGTCTGTTCTGGTTGGGTTGGATTTTTATTGTCTCATTCCTCTCTTGGAAGGAAAAGTGACTGTTTTGTACTAAATTGTAAATTAATGTGCTTGTTTAAAATAAACTGCAAACGTTTGGGCAAAGTGGATGCGTTTGTGCTTTTTATCTGTGTCTGCAAATTATTTTGAGCTGAGCTCTATTGCCAGGACAGCTCCTGAGCATGTCCATGATAAACCAGACCCATCCTCCTGGGGAGATGTATTTTTAAGCCAAGACTTCTCAGGAGCTGCTGGGGAATCTGAACAAGGGAAGAGAAAATAAACCAGGAAGAAATAAATGTTTGAGTGGGTTGGTTTTTATTTATGGTTGTGTTTTTTTTTTAATTAATGGCAGAAGCCCAAGTGAAGAAGGCCATGGGCAGGAGGGTACAGGAGGGTGTGCAGGGGGAGATCAGCACAAGAGCTTCTGTGGGGTCCTGAGTGGGACACAACCCCTGGTGGGACACAGCCCCTGGTGGGACACAGGCCCTGATCTCTGTCCTGAGTGGGGACACAGCCCCTGGTGGGACACAGGCCCTGATCTCTGAGTGGGACACAGCTCCTGATCTCTGTCCTGAGTGGGACACAGCCCCTGGTGGGACACAGCCCCTGATCTCTGTCCTGGTGGGTCACAGCCCCTGGTGGGACACAGCCCCTGATCTCTGTCCTGAGTGGGACACAGCTCCTGCTCTCTGTCCTGAGTGGGACACAGCCCCTGGTGGGACACAGCCCCTGGTGGGACACAGCCCCTGATCTCTGTCCTGCTGGGTCACAGCCCCTGGTGGGACACAGCTCCTGATCTCTGTCCTGGGTGGGACACAGCCCCTGATCTCTGTCCTGGTGGGTCACAGCCCCTGGTGGGACACAGCCCCTGGTCTCTGTCCTGCTGGGTCACAGCCCCTGGTGGGACACAGCTCCTGATCTCTGTCCTGGGTGGGACACAGCCCCTGATCTCTGTCCTGAGTGGGTCACAGCCCCTG